GTTTTGGACGTCCTTCGTCGCGGCGCTGTGACGTATGCGGCCGACAAATTCGACCTTCGGAGGRCCCGTCCTGCCGTTTTGCACACAGCCATATTCAGCACATACTGTCACATTTAGCAGTGTCATGAGATTGTTTAACATCATTTTCCACTATTCAACAATAAAACATCTCTAAGTGTGACCCGTCAGGTGATCTGCATTCATTGAAGTCTTTTTTATTAAGCTAAATGATTATTTTGTTTCTCAGCAGGTGCTGTGTTGAGTTGTGTCATCTGGTTTTTCAACAAATCTGCACAAAATGATGCAGTAACATCCAGTACTTTAGATGTTTTTATCTGAACCAAAGTATTTTCACCTTAATGTAACCACAGCTCCTCCCCTCTGTTTGTGCAGCGGTGGTGTTTGTGATTGACAGCTGCCACAGGGACAGACTCATGGAGGCGCACAGTGAGTTAGCCAAACTACTGACAGAGAAGGAGCTGCGAGATGCTTTGCTGCTCATTTTTGCAAACAAGCAGGTCTGAAAAACCAAATAAAACTAAACTACAGTAATGTGGTGTTAGCACAGATTCAGGGCTTCACCATCACTTTGTGTTGCTCTGCTGCAGGACGTTCCTGGAGCCGTGTCCGTGGAGGAGATGACTGAGCTGCTGAGTCTGCACAAGCTGTGCTGTGGGAGGAGCTGGCACATCCAGGGCTGTGATGCTCGCAGTGGGATGGGTCTACATGAGGGGCTGGACTGGCTCTCCAGACAGCTGGTGGCTGCTGGGGTCCTGGATGTGGCCTAAAGAAAGCACTGCCCCCGACCTTTGCACATACTGACACCCCCCCCACCCCCAAAATAAAAAAATATAAAAATAAAACAGTCTCTGAGCTCAGCTCATCAGCTGTCTAAAACCTTACAGGATGCAGTTTAAAGTTAGATTCTGTCATCAAACAATGAAATATCTTCAAGGATTTCCTGTTGACACCCTGCTACCCCCACAGCTATAAACCCAGACTTTGGCCTAAATCCTGAATTAAGACTACAAACTTCTGAAAGTCATGTTTGTGCCTTGCAAATGTGGTCATCCCACTTTGTTGCCTTTGGATTTTTAAGTTAAAAAAATAATTCTGGAAAGATAATTCAAATGAAACGGGGAAAAAAAATTGCTAAAATAAATTCTAATAAGTTCTAAAAGTGAAAAATAGTGTGTGCATATGTATTCAGCCTGCAGCGTTCTCTATGAATTTGAACCATGTAGAAGTTTAGTTTGTTGTTTTTGACCAAACTGCTGCAGCTCCTTCAGGGTGACGCTGCTTGTGTCTGACAACCTTTAAATCCAAAGACTGAGGTCTGCTCTGACATTTAACTGGTTCTCCTGAAACCTGTGGACTGTTTGTTTCTTCTGAAGAGTTTTTCTGTACTTTGCACCGTCCATCTTTTCTTTAACTTGGACCCCGGCTCCACACAGCATGATGCTGCCACCACCATGCTGGTGTTCTCAGCAGGATGTTTGCTTTGATATTTCCTTTCATCTGATCACAGGACCTTTATTAACCCAGATTCCTTTTTCCTAGGGATGCACGATATATCGGTATTGATATCGGTATCGGCTGATACTGGACATTTTTTAGAATATCGTATCGGTCCGATAAGTAAAACTGAGCTGATATTAACGACCGATATTGATTTTCCACTTTTTAGCTTTAGTTTCTGTTTTGAAGGGGAGATGGTTGGTTGAGCAGCATCTGTTTGATCATAATAGTGATATTGATGCTGTGCAGCCAGGAATAACTGAAGTAGAGCCATGTCAGAGGTCTGGTTGTTTATTTACAGAATCAAAAAAAGACCCAAGTATGTTTGTGCGTATATGTATAATATAATTTGTGTGTTTGTGTAATATCGGTTAATATCGGTTATCGGCCATAACAGAAATAATTATATCGGATATCGATATTGGCTGAAATTTTCATTTCGATGCATCCCGACTTTTTCCTCAACCCTTCATGAAGCCCCTACCTGTGCAGCTTCTGTTGACCTGTCATGTCCCAGCTGTCAGGTTATCCTCCTGGATGTTCCTCTCCTGACCCACTGAGTGGGTTTTAGTGGATGACCCTCTGTGATGGTCTCATCTGTACATTTCCTAATAATGAATTTAGTAAGATTGGATATCCAAGAGTCTGATACATTTTATAACCCAACCCTGATGTGGACATGTCCACAACTTTGTCTCGGGCCTGTGTGAAGACTTTCTTGGTCTTCGTGTCTCTTGCTTGGTGGTAGGCTGCACTACAGTTCATTCTGGGACCATCAGGACAGGTGGTTCTGACATCATGGGACTCTTAGACTGCTCACAGGTTGCTCTTAATAAACTATGTGGCTGCTGCAGGTGAAGGTTGGGGATTCAAAGCAAAGGAGTTAATCCATATGCACACACTCCTGTTTTAGTTTTATGTTTTTAAATTACTTACATTTGCAACTGTTAATCTGAAATATTTTTGTAGAATTGTTGCTCATCAAATCTATAACACAAAAAAATGAGGTTTTAAGGCAACAAAATCGAAAGTTAACAAAGATGAATACTTTTGCAAGGCACTGTACCTGGTCCAGCACATTACTTCAGTTTTTCTGTTTGATAAGCCCATCTGCTGTGTAGCTTCTGTAACGCCTGCATCTGTTTCATCTGAAATACTTTAGCACCTCGACAGTGTGGATTGTATTTTCGCACTTTTGGTTTAGATGCCCTTCCTTGTGACAATAATCTGAACTAGAGAATTTGCATTTCCAGCGAAAATGCCAGTGTGAATGCCTCTTGCTGATAACTTTAGCTGAAGCTAAGAAACAAATTGATGATGTCACTGATGACATCTTCATCAAAATTCTAAAAATTGAAATTGCTAAAAAAACCTAAAAATTTAAGATACCAAATATCATATCTGGAATGTCCTGAAGGAGCTGAACATTTTGTTATATGAATGGTTTAAGTAGCATAAAAATTGTGGAAGGAGAAGCCGTCCAAAAAACGTACCCATTCAAAGTCAATGGGAAAAAAACTGCTTAAAAATTGAAATAGCTCAAAAGGTATAAAAAGTTAAGTTACCAAAAGTCATAGCCGGAATGTCCTTAATGAGCTGAACATTTTGATAAATGAATGGTTTAAGTAGCACAAAAATTGTGGGAGGAGAAGCGGTCCAAAAAATCATACGGAAGAAACTGGAATAATAAAGAATAAAGAGAAACATGAAAACAATAGTATTCACACAACTAAATTCACAGAGCTCCACGTTGTGCATATTTTTATTTACATACTTTTTTGTTTTTCAGTGAGCTTCAAGTAGTCATGAGAAATAATTAGTGAACATATAATTTAATACATTCAGACTAGGTTTTACAGGTTAGACATGGTTTCAATGAATCCTGTGACTGCAGATATTTGCCTTGTCTTCTAATGTAAGCTTTAGCAAATGTGTTATTAGCTCTTCTGTGCTTTTTTTAATGTGTGAACCTGTTTAATATCCCTGCTGGGCCTGAAGGGCTAGCATTTTGGTTTGAATGGAGTGTCATCTGTTACAGAGTAAACTGTTTACTGAACGTATTAACAGCTACGTAACATTTCTTTGATTCAAGGCTGAGTTTTTAACGGGCCGTTTCTGCCTCTGTGGAGCGTCTTGCATGCCGAATTCATCAAACACACGTAATCTGCTGATAGCTTTCATCTGGAAGCAAACAAAACATCTGCTGTTACCTAGTGTGTGTTGCATTACTACAAAATTTTAGTGAAAGTACTTTTCTGTATTCAAAGTGCATAACGATGGAACAGCTTTAATCAGTAAAAACCGTAATGTGAAACTTAGTGGACATTAAACATAACACTGTCATCTTATTTAGGAACCATTATTTCAGTTTGGCTTTTATTCATTGCTATGTATATTATTTGTACGTATGTATAAAACAACCCACCAATAAAAAAGCATGTGTGAAAAGCTTTTCCACAGTTTGTGAAAACTAGTTGATTTTCTGAACCTAAGAAGCACAGCACGCTTTGAAACCTTTGTTATATGTGGACGTGACAGCGTTTGTAAATGATATACAGTCTGTGATCGTGTAAAATAAACTATTTGACATCACTTCTTCAAACATAAGTTCCTTTTTTTCACAAGTTATTACCTCTGGAGACCAGTGTAGCCATTTATATATCAAACGCTCGGCCTAGTTGAAATAATTATTTAACTTGAACACTTTTTAAAAAATAGAAATACAGAAACATATATGGGCTGCCGTTTGTAAAGTTACACAGTCAAAAAATTACCACCAATATCTATTTTATTTAGCCTTTTACAAGAAAAAAAAGTTTTATTTTTCAAAGTCAGTTTTTCACCACATGATTCATACATTTATAAATGTCAGTTTATAAACTAAATATTTAACTTACAAATTAAATATTTAGTTGAGCTAAATACTTAACTTGTGACTGAAATATTTAGTTTTGAGCTAAATAGCTTGAAACTTAAATATTTAGCTAGCTACCTAAATATTTAACTTGMTAGCTAAATATTTAAGTTAAATATTTATACCTAAATATTTAACTTGMTAGCTAAATATTTAAGTTAAATATTTATACCTAAATATTTAACTTGMTAGCTAAATATTTAAGTTAAATATTTATACCTAAATATTTAACTTGCTGGCTAAATATTTATACCTAAATATTTAACTTGCTAGCTAAATATTTAACTTAAATATTTAGGAAGCTACCTAATTAGAAAATGTAATACTTACAAGACCACTGATAATCTCCATTGATCAGAGGCTCCACGAAAGATCTCACTCTGTTGGGTCAAAATGATCACAAGAATGGTGAGCAAAAATCCCAGAACCACATGGGCGACCTGGTGAATGACCTGCAGAAGGCTGGGACTAATGTAACAAAGGCTACCGTCAGTAACACACTACGTCACCAGGGACTCATATCCTGCAGTGCCAGACATGTCCCCTGCTTAAGCCAGTACATATCCAGGCACGTCTGAAGTTTGCTAGAGAGCATTTGGATGTTCCAGAAGAGGACTGGGAGAAAGTCATATGGTCTGATGAAACCAAAGTAGAACTGTTTGGTAGAAACAACTCGTCATGTTTGGAGGAGAGTAAATGCTGAGTTGCATCCAAAAAACACCAAACCTCCTGTGAAGCATGGGGGTGGCAGCATCATGCTTTGGCACTGTTTCTCTGCAAATGGTCCAGGATGACTGATACGTGTCCATGAAAGAGTGAATGGGGCCATATATCATGAGATTTAGAGTGCAAACCTCCATCAGCAAGACCAAGAGCATTGAAGATGAAACATGGCTGGGCCTTACGATCCCAAGCAAACTGCCAGGGCAACAGAGTGGCTTGGTAAGAAGCATTTCAAGGTCCTGGAGTGGCCTAACCAGTCTCCAGATCTCAACCCCATAGATAACCTTTGGAGGGAGTTGAAAGTTCGTGTCGCCCAGCCCCATCCCCAAAACATCACTGCTCTAGAGAAGATCTGCATGGAGGAATCCAGTTTTCACCTCCTGTATCATGACTGAGTACTCAGTGAAATGCTGGTTGTATGGGGTGAAGTAGTCAATGGTAGATCTTCAGGGGGTTTGTCACCAGTAGCTGATACAAAGCCAGCAAACCCTGCAACAAGTTGCTTTAATCCACTACTCACCACCACTTGGGACAAGTAGCAGACACAATACTCTTGGATGGTTTTAGACTTTGTTGTTTGTGGAATAAAAACTGCTCCTTCAGATAAAGGTGTTTGTCATCAATGCATGTTCACACGAAAGGATGAAATTTGTTTTCTGCATTTGACCCATCACACGAGAAACACCCAAGTGGAGCAGCAGGCAGCTATGTGAGTGCTGGGGAACAGTTGGGGATTGGGTCTCTTGCTCAAGGACAGTCGAACCTCTCTTTCTGGTCCCAAGTTGGCTGCTCTACCACTACACCACAGCCACCCTCAACTTGGGTCCAATTCGGTTATAGATACGGAAGGGCTTTAGGGTTTCAGGTATACCCACCTTCAAAGAGCGTGTTTTTTTCCGTTTATAGAGAGGAAACTGATTTTCCAGAGTTGGGAAGATCAAATCCAGTTTTCACTTCCTGTATCATGATCCCACTAGTCCAGTTAACCACAATGGAGCCATCGATGTTTGTAGTTATTTTGTACAGATTGTCCCACTCAAGATAAAACACATTATTGGCCTGACCAGTAATAATTTGTGGACTGAGAGAATAGAAAACCTCATCTCTCCTGGATTTCTTTTTTGCTGGATTAAACTGTTTATACTCACCATTATTTTCTTTAGTTTCTTTGGCATTATTAGCAACAATCAGCCTTATTTTTCAACATTTCAAACTGATGAAAATTAAATAACTGCCTAAACCCGTATGCCAACGCCTACAACACATTGCCAGAATAATTTAAAGGTTGCAGTTTAGAATTTAGTAGTTTGTGCTTTGAACCAGAGCTAAAGCTAGCTTGTAAATTTGCAAATGTGTCAACATCCAAGATGGCTGACAAAATCAAATTCTGGCAAGTTGTTTTGAAGTAAAAAAAAAAAAAAAATATGTGTAGCCAGTCATGTCACTACCAATCTCCATTAATTCCTCATGCCAAAATGGAACCCAAACTGGGGTCATTTGCCTCTGCACAATGTCTAGTTAAGTCAACATGTTGATTTTACATTGTTTTTTGCATTTGTGGAACTCCAGGTCGGCAACCAAAAGGGTACAATAAACATTCATCTGACAAAATGTCAAGTGGATATCATCAACTTGTGTTTACTATGCATGTTGAAAATTATAAATACACAAAGCTTTGAAAAAAATATCAATAGGGTACAGGAGAGTAGTTCCTGCGATTCAGTTTAGGCGAATTTTAGCCTTTTTTTTTGTTTGTTTACTCCAGCTATTATGCATCAAACATGATTTAATCATAGGAATCTTTTTTTTCAACAAATTACCCATGAAAAGACAAAAATAAAATGGGGTGAATGGTGTCTGTCATATATATAGTTTAGGAGTTGTGTTGATTTAAAGTTTTCATTTTTCACAATGGAAAATCCAGGTCGGCCATTAAAGATAGTCAATAAAAACATACATGGGACAATAACTTGCTTTGGGGCCATCACAATCCATTTACTAGACACCTTTAGGATTACAAAAAGTTAGGTTAAAAATATATATCTTTCGGGTGCATGGGACCCCACCCCCTTTCCTACTAGACTAATAAAATAAGATGTACAATGTCACCTTTTTTCATTCTGCAAAATCGATACACTCCGTGACCCAGGCTGGACGTTACTATCTACATGGAAAATTAAAAGTAAAAAGATGAAGAAAATGGACTTCTGTTTCAGAGCTGTAAACACATGAATCTACAGATTTAAACAGCGAGTCAGGTAATGTTAAGTATAATGTTGGATTTTAGCTACAGGTTTACCAGTTTTAGCCTTCAGTAGAGGTTTTGGCTTTTATCTACCATTAAGTTTGTTATAGCATTAAGCATATTCCAACAATTTTCTGCTCATTTTTCCTACTGTTCTGAATGTTTCAGCAGTTGTTTTACTGGTTAACTTCTGTAATATTTGTTACAAGCTGTAACATTTCCTATAATCCATTAAAACCATCTTTATTGAGTCAGTAAAAATCAACATCACTGTACAGAACATAGAGAGAATATCACTTTATGGTGATGTTGATAATGCTGATGTCCTCATACGGTTTGTCTGTCTTGGGGTTCACTTTGGTATTGGAGATCCTCTGGACCACCTCCATGCCTTTGGTGCATCTTCCGAACACAGTGTGTTTGTTGTCAAGCCAAGGCTGTGGAAAAAATACACAAAAACATGTAAAATCATAATGAGAAACATAAGACATGCTGAGTTCAGAATGACTACTGAAGAAACTCAAAGTTAGAACAAAGGGTATGACAATGTCCTCTGTTGCTGAAAGTTTTAATCAGTGAACGTTTGTAGTTTTGGAGATAAGTGATTTATGAACTGGAATTGAACATGGAATGCAAGTAAGGCTCAAAATATACAAGTTGGTGGGAGTTCCAGTGTGTATAAGAAGAGAGGTAGATTTTTCTGGTTAAAAATGCAACCATCAAAAAACTTCCTCTCAGTCATTAAGAATAATTTATTTACCACATTTTAAAGACCAATTATAATCTGGTCCCTTAAAGGGATCCATGATTAGTTGTAACATTAGACTTTATTTAATAAACAT